ACTGAAGAAAAAGAATAAAATGCAGTCATTCATCTGCTGAGCAGGTTAATTTTTTTCAGTAATTTCTCCTGCTCGCCTAATTTCATGCCTAGACAAATTGAAATTCTCAATGCGGTGTCCTTGAAAGGAATCTTATCCTGGTTGTGTCGGTGCGGGCTCCAGGCACTGTGTGTTTGGTCAACAAGCAACAGTGGGTGGTCAGGCTGTAGCACAGGACAAGGGCCCGCTGTGCACAGGAAAAAATGTTCAAAGGTGTTTAAGGGTGGTAAGGAAGTCTGCTGCCCTTCAGAGAGTCCGGAGGCTATAGATCAGCCTTCCCGCGCTATTGTAGCCTGTGAGAAAATTCACCGTAATATCCATAAAGGATGAAAGAATACAGTAACTGTATTCACCTGGATGCACGTCTGTAGGGTCTTTTTTTTTTTTTTTTTTTAATTTAATCTTGCTCATATACATGCTGTATATACACACGTAGTCTATGTAATGACTGGTGTGTGACTTACCACGGAAAATTGCACTGAAAAACTACTCAGTCTGAGGTTGATCACTTGTTAACAATTTTCTCTGTCACTGCAAAAAGTACGGCTGCTGTATTATCCCCTGATAAACCAGTAGCTTTTGTAAAAAAGCTTTAGCTGAATGTCACGTAAATGATGCGCCGGGCTGGCAGAATTGCAGAATGGCTGAGGCTGGGTTACAGAGGGAGGCGAGAGATGTGTGACTCCCATGAGAAACCTCCTCCTGTCTGACTGCGAGGGGGGAAAAAAAACAAGCAGAGTTGTGGAGCGATGGATATTGTAGAACAATTTTTACACTCAGTTTGGTGATAGTTTTAAAATAACAAAGTAAAGCTGCTTGTAAAGATTTAAATAATTTACTGGTTTGCAGATCATGGAAAAATCTATTTTAGGCAAACTTAATGTTAGTCATCTTTTTTCACTGAGGCTGCAACATGCTGCGTGCAGGTAACATCTCAAAACATGGGGTCAAGGCATGTACACGAGCCATAGGTACTGTAGGCACGTAAGTACCCTGTAGCAGCTCCAGTACTGATAAACTTAGGGAAGACGTGCAGTTAGGGGTCAGCACAGGTGACTTTGGTTTACAGAAAGTGAAAGCACAAATAAAATAAATGACCTCAAAAAGCATTGTGCTCTCCCCCCCCCCCGTCCCCCCCCCGATCCTTATTTTGGTGAGATCTTACTGCACTAGAACAGAAGAGGTCTGAACAAAACCGTTGAACTATTTATATTTCACACAGTATCTGAATGTTTTTATTTTATTCTACCTACCTTTAAAATATCTGTGCACAAAGTTGAAACCCAGTAAAATCCTTTTTAAAAAAAAAAAAATTTAAAGCAACGTTACGATCCTTAAAACTTCTTATTTGATCTCACAATTTTACAGTGTAAATGTAATAAGGCTTTAATTATACTTCTGATTTGTCATGACTGTTCAGTAGAAGAAGAGAATGTAGTACATTTATTTTTCCTGTGTTTCCTTGGTTAAATATACACTTGGCACTGGAGTCACTGACAGATATGCTCCATGTAGATGCTGTATTTTGGAAAAAAAAAATGCTTCTGTAACTTCAAAGATGCAGTATATTAAAAAAAAAAAAAAAAAAGAAAAAAGATGATCTGCCAGGACTGTATTGTTCATGCTGTTTATACAACATCTTAAAACCTGTTAACACAGTAAAAAGTTAATTTCTTGAAGCTTTAGATTGTTACTGTCCTATATTCAGAATCTAGGAATGCAGAAATAGTACACAAATCAAAAAATGAATAGGCAGTAAATTATTATTTGCGTAGTTTATTTAGGTTTATAAATATTATTGTCTACAGTCCATGCTAATATTAATTCACTGTATTACATTATGCTGCTAAATTTAAGCTGCTGGCTCCAGAGAGGGAATGAGCTGGGATGGGAGAAAAATTGTTTGTAAGTTAACTCTCACTTTTTTACAAGATTTATGCATTAGTGTGCAGTCTTCAAGCGCTATCTTCTGGTTGAGTGAAAGCAAAATCAGCTTTGTTAATGCAGTCCAGATGTTTATTAGTCCTGAGGGTATATGTGCTGTTGTAGTTCCCTGCTGCTGTGTTATACTTGCTTGTAATGCTAGACAACCAATTAAGAAATTAGTTCATGTTAAACTTTCTTTTCCTGGTACGGCTGCAAACTGATGATGTGGTTTTTCTGGTGGAACAAGAGAGTATTCTTTATATGTTTTCTGTTACTGGTGAATATTTAAACCATTTGGGCAGCGTGGGGTTAGTATATCAGCAGCAATACAGAATTTTCAGGGTTTCAGCTACCTCAGGCAAATGGTTTTAATTGAACTAATTCACATTAAGATGTTTTGGTAAGTGTGTCTGTTTTTCTTAATTCTGAAGTTTAATTGGCACTGTCATTTCTAGAAACCATCTGTTTACAAGAAATTCCTCATATTAACAAGGTGTTTGAACGGTGAGAGCCTAAATTCTATGTGAAGACATCAAAGAGGGAAGTTTGGTCTATCATGGCTTTTTCTAATTGTAGTTTTTGTGAAGATAGCATTGCTGCACTTCTGGGTTTTTGTTTTGGTGGGTTTTTTTCCATATATGCTTTAACTAGCAATGTCTCTGACAATTCTGATTTGTCCTTGGTGTACATTTTTTTCACCCAAATAAAATGCAGATACATAGAATCTCAGAGTCATATTCTTATAGAAGCTCAAGAACTCTGTGAAGCACTTAAAATTTCTTGAGGTATTCTATACATTTTTCTTTTTGTTTGGGGTAGAATCTCTGTAAGATATTGAATGTGTACTTTTTTTAATCTCGAGAGGAAAAAATTTTTTTTTGTTTTTAGTTCATTCTGTAGGCTTGCTGGAATGTTTTCTCGGAAGTTAATGTTGTAAATTTGTAATAATTAAGATATGTTTTAGAAGTCATAGGTGTTTAAATCGTAGATGCTGAAGATGTGCGATCTTACGCAGATCTGTTACATGGGCAGTTGCATAGTATGTGTCAATAATTAACTATTGGCTCTTGCAGCATACATACCTCCTTCAAAAGCTTCTGATAGCTTTAGGTTTTTTCCTTATTATTCTATATTTTTAGTTCATTCATAAGGAAAAGTGTTTCTTTCCCCAAATTCTTGTACACTCACTGTAGAACTTCTTTGTGGTGACAGTGGATATTATACATAAATCACTGTAGCAGAGTCCATATTGCTGAAAACTCATCAATTTTACAGGTGTCATAAAGATCAGTTGTTTTTAATAAGTGGTGTAGGATTTAAATAGTCAACAGAGTCATAGTAAATGATAGCAGAGATGAGTTCACCAAGTCAGTTAATGCAGTGTGTGTATCACGATTGTGAACTACATAGCAAATGGATCTATTTACTTAGGTGTTTTATAATGTGAATGGAGGAACCAACAGTTAGCTCTAACAAAAATGCCTCAGTGAGGCCATAGTGAAAGGCCACAGGAAATCTCTTTAAAAGCTGTTAAAGAATTATGGGAGGAAGAGCTTCTTTCAAAAGGAACTAAAACCCAATACTGTCACCTATTGGAAGTTTGCAATAAGTTTCACTGTAGTTAGTATTGCCCGTTAAGCCCCAGCTGTTGAAGTAAAGTGACTAGGTGTATCTTTACTGCCATATTGGTCTGACAGCAGCATAAATTCAAAATAAATATTCTTCAAATCCTTTTTACTTTGTGTTACTCTTGAATCTGAGTATTGCAATGTTGCAGCTGGTGCTCTTACTGTGTGGCCTTCCTGTTATTTTAAGTGAATGTAGGTATTGATAGACAAGATCAAGCAATATGAACTCAAACACTGAGATTCTCACTACAAAACTCAGCATGAATTACCAGGGGAGGTTTCATCTCGATATAAGAAAGAAAGAAATTTTTTTACTGTGAGAACAATCAATCACCGGAGCAACCTCCCCAGGGATGTGATAGAGTCCCCATCGCTGGAGGTTTTCAAGATGCGACTGGACAGCGTGCTAGATAATCTCTCCTAGGCTCCCTTTCCCATGAAAGGCTGGACCAAATGATCTTTTGAGGTCCCTTCCAACCTGGGCTGTTTTATAATTCTATGAATTGTGATTAAGTTTAGCTGTTACAGCTCAGTTGGCCAATGCTGAAATAATTTTTGATGGTTACTTTCAGAAATCTATCTGTATGGTGAACTGCGTAAAGCAGCAATTTAGGCTTTAAGAGAAATATTGGCAGTGTTACAGTACATTAAAAAATCATTATGGTCTGCTCATTATGATATGGTTGTTTTCCAAAATGTACATTAGGCTCCAAGTATCCACCTCCACCAGATTAGATCATTGCTTAGGACTTGCTAATAGTGACCTACGTATGGACAGGTACCCGAAGAAAAAAAATAATTATTTGATAACAGTAACTGGTTCACTCGGAAATATTTTGTGTGTTTATGGATATGTCTAAGTGTGGGGTGTTTTACAGGCATGCACAAGCATACAATGCCATTAGTTCATCTGCTTCATGATGGATGGATTCTTTCTACCTGAACTCTGCACAGGTCCAACAGCTAAGAAGTAGTTGAACACTCTGCCCTTAACTGCTTCAGCTGGAGGCACAAGAAACTGTTGCTGTTGAAAAGTAAATTTAGACATACACCAGAAAAAAAGTGTGTGCCATGTCACTAATGGCATAAATACATATTTATCCATGGTGTTCAAGCAACTAATTGTAAGACATTAAAGTAATAACAGAGAAACATACAGACCAAAGAATGATATTTCTCACATGGTACTTGTGGTTTTGGCTTTGCTACAGGAGTCGATAGTGGTGTTATTGAATAGCCTTGATGTAGATGAACAGACAGTATAACTAAGCAAGATTAAGAATGTTTTTGCTAGATACCTTTTGTCTTGTATCACTTCAGAATTAAATTAGAATTCCACGTGCAGCATGCAGTTTCATGTCAATTGATGTGCAAAAATCATTATAACTTTTTTCCTCCTCTCCCTAGGCAACTCATTGCTCCACAGCCCCATGCTAGACCTGGAAAGTGATGTGCGTCCATCACCAATTGGCCATCTCGGTCAAACTGCTTCACTGAAAAGGGGCAGCAGCTTTCAGTCTGGCCGCGATGATGGTAGGCATCGATTTTATTTGGAAAAACAAAGCTGCAGTTCCCTATGTTTAGTGTGTGGTGTAGTCAAAAAACCCAAACAGAAACCCACATTCTGTGTGTTTGTTTTGGTTTGTTACCAAATAAAATTCTTTCTTCTCACACATTGCCATTGCTTACTAAGGGGGTCCTCTGTGTGCATAACTGAAATGTGCTTCTTAAAATGTAGTCACAGTAATAAGAGTCTCTTTTTTTTTCTACAAAACCGGGATTTTTTTTTTTTTTGGCATACATATCCACCTGCTGCCTACCACCTTTTGCTGCTGTTACACCTTTTGTGTGTGTTTGCTAAGATGTCTCTCCTCGCATTTGCTCCTTTTGTGACTGCACATATCTGGTCCATGTTCTCCAATTCTCTAAAGCCAGAAAGGGAAACAAAATTGTGTGACTAAGCTTGAGCAGTGTGTCCACGACCAGCTGAGCCCTTGTGTGTTTTAAGTGTCTTCAACACCCTTGTCCAAACAACTTCATCTCAGGAGTCTTTCAATGGTGGCATCATAGGAGACAGAAAACATGTTTTTCACAGGATAGGTCATTTCTTACCAAAGTGCTTTTTTGCAGAAAGCGGGTTTTTATGAAGAAATTCCTGGGTTTGGTCGTCTTTGTTGCTCTTCTCCCAATTCTGTGGACTTCCTTGAAAACCTGTCTATAGACATCTGATTTTTTTTGAGCAAGTGAAGGAATGAAGGGAATCTTTCAAGAACATAGAATGAAGAATAATGAGAACTGTACATTCTTGTGCTGCCACAGTGTATCTTCACATGAAAGACAATTAAATTGCATCACAGTTTGAGGTTGAATGTTTGTATTTCAAAATATAAATTACACACTCTTCAAAATATACATGTATACCAAGTAATTACATTACTGTATTACTGTCACCCTTGTCCTTTCTTAGCCCAAAGCCTTGCATGAAGTTGATGAACAGGTGTTACAGAGCAAAACAGTAAATTGATGGAGGTTGTTGGATACCATCCACTAATACACATGCCACACATAATGTAGCAAGCAACATCCAAAATCCAGTTTATTTTTTCCTTGCCTGAATTCTTTTGCCTGTGTCTCTGCTTAAATAGTTGCATCTACAGAAGGCACTTTCAATTCAGTTGGTTATCTTTGCTTTTAGAGTCTTAGTTATGGATCCATAACCTTTTACGAACTGGAAAGACAGGTCTTCAGCAAGCTTTGCAGATTCTGTAGGCAGCAGTTTAAACCAAGATTCAAAGGAAAACTGAAGGATCAGAGCATCATAACACCTTAGGAGCCCAATCCACCACGAAGACCCTAGAGTTAGAATGAGTTGCCTCTGAGCTCAGTTCATTGGTACTTAGGTGCACGTGCCCACTGCATGCTTAGGAACAGTTGAAACCTCTACCATCCTTGCTCTTCTCTGAGTGGAGAGCCAAAGCAAACCACCCACTTACGATACCTGTGCAGGAGCTGCCATTCCAAATATGCCATGATGTGCTCTTAGGTTGCTTGTGCATCCTTTTGGTTTTTAGGGAATTTAAGGAGTGGCATCTCTGGGGTTTTTTTGGTGTTTTGGTGGGGTTTTTTTCCCCAGTGTGATTGACGATGATTGCCCATGAGATTATTTGCACAAATTACTTCGAATTCAAAACTGCCTCATTCAAATAACGTTCAGCCTCTGCTTGAGCGTATGTTCATGAGGATATGTAAACAATAGCTCTTGTGTCATCTTTAGGATGTTATAATAGATCGTAATAGAATAAAAGAAAATTTCTGTTTTCATATAGATTGGCACTTTCTCTAGCAAAAAAGTCAAAATATCTTGAATTTATGGCCAGAATGTCCTTTTGACATGATATGCAGTAGTGTCTTCTGATAAATATCTACTGTCTGCAGACCCTGGACTAAGGCAGTCTCTGAAGTAGGCCTGAAGTATGCTTCCTGGAGGGAAAAAGAATTTCGTACGTGAAGTAAATCTTGGCAATGTGTTTACAGTTAGGAACAGACATCCCTGGTTATAACCTTGGGTTGGTGCTTGGAGCTTTTGGCAAAGATGAGATGGTTTCTCAAATTTTTTGGTTAGAGCTTGGGATTTGTTAGTGTCACAGAGCCTCTGTTGCTGTAGCAGTGTTGGCACAGCTTGCTGGCATAGTCACAGCGTATATCAGTAAGAGGAGTTTTTCTGCTACTGGGTCTAGACCAGTTCTCTGACTGTCATAAACCAAGCTGGCAAATGTAGTGCTCTGACATCCTATCTGTGTCCACATGATGAGCTTTGCTGCTTGAACTTGCATCTCCTAAACAGATGCATTGCTATCAGCAGAGTTACACTTCAGTTATGTCAGTCTCTCTCCAAATTTTGGGCTTCCATTGTGATTTTTTTGTTTGTTTGTTTTTCAAATACTCCTCCAGAGTCCCTAAACTTTTTGGTCTTGAGGAAAAAGAACATTTTGGGTAGTGCAGATGTTTATTTGTCCACTAAATAAATGGACAAGTAATTGACCTGCACCTCAACAAACAGCTGCTGCTGAAAGCATGCTGTACTTCAAGGAGATTCAAGACTGGTTACCAACACAGTAAAATAGTGAGGCTCTGGTGAAGCGTACTGGTTACCTAATGTGCTATTAGGCAGCTATTTTTGCCTGACTGGTGAATTCCTGTTCTGTGTAGGCAATATTCCCTACAGATTAAGGACAAAAAGTGTAATTTCACCCAATGTTTTTCTGCATTTCCACAGAGTTGTGTGGTATATGTTCTTAATTTTATCATAGCATAAAAGACCAGTGTTTATACCAAAAAAATCCAACAAACATGGACCTCTTTAAATATCATTGTTTGGTTTGTTTTCTTTTGGTTGTTTTTTCTCAAAAATCTGTGACTTCTTTTTCCCAACATTCTCAAGTGGACTCTAATTCTTGAGTTGAAATATAAGCCTCTTATCACTGTTGCGTTATCTGTATACCCTGTTTTGTTAAAACATCATAATCAAGAAAGCTTCAATAGAGAAGGCAGATGGGCATAGAAAAGTATTTCATGAAGTTTCCTTTGCTTGCTTTATTAATTGGCACCTTTCTTCTGCCCCTTTTCAGCTTTCTCTTTACCTTCCCCCCACAACCTCCCTTTGCCCCATTTGATAAGAAACTGAGAAAAGTTATCTGCTGCCAAAATGTAAGCTATTTTCCTGATGTGTTTTAATAGCTGGTGTACCAGGAGTGTAAGCAGGTTCATGAAGTGAGAGATGCTGCAGTGTTATACGTCGTGATTGTGTTCTTCATCCAAGAATCTCAATATATACTTAGTGATACCTTTATTGAGTTTTAACAAAACCGTTGGAATATCCCCTGTTTTTCAGATAAAAGACTTTACCAAACAAATGGAAATTAAGATGAGAGGTTGGCAGCTTGCCCCAGGCCACAATGGAAATTTTTTTGAGCTTTAAATAAAGCAGATCTTCTAGTTCCCGTTGTTTGCCTTAATCACTAGCATATCCTGTCAGCCTTGTTTCTTCAGCATCACCTCCTCATCAATTGAAACTTCTAATGTCTTGATTGCTTTCATGTTACCTTACCTTTTAGTGGCTTGAAGACAGAAGACTGGCTAACTGGATTGTTAGGTGGATTGCATTAGATACCCCTACAAAGGGGCCTATTCTTTATATACTGTCGTAGTGCTGGCACCTTGTAAGTGTATCAGAAAAGAAGAAAGAGCTGGCATGTGTACCAATTGTGTACACATATATGGACAGAGCTTTAAACTTTTCCACTCCTGCCTGAAAGATTTTATATATACACTATATAGTCACTTGTATAATACAAAGCAGTAGCAAGCTAGTAGTACATTTTTATTATTAAGTCAAAGTTTTTTAATTTTGCTTTTTCCGTCCCCTCTCCCCCTTTTAGCTTGGCGATACAAAGCTCCTCAGCAAGTTGTATTTGTTGAAAAGTTGACAAAACTTGTTGTAAGTCAGCTGCCCAACTTTTGGAAGCTCTGGATTTCTTATGTGAATGGAAGTTTATTCAGTGAGGTATGGATTCTTCTATATAAATGACTTTTAAGTAACAAAGCTCAATAATAATTATGTTTGAAGTATTATATTTCACTGGAAGAAGTGACTGGGCTTACTTTAATCAGAGAGGTTTATAAAGCAATAAGTAGACTCTTACACATTTGAGAGATGCTACCTTGACTTGTAACCTGTCTTGCAATACTAACCTATAGAAGTGAGACTCTTCGTTTTATTTTCAAAAGAATAAAAGCATACAATGCAATTACTTAGAATTCTGACAGTGGTGTGTCTATGCATGTTCCAGATGCTGGAGTCAATATCTGTGTAGTTTCACCTCTTACTCATAGCTGGCCAGCCGCCCTTCATTGGTGATCTGAAGAAATAGCAAATTGCATGAAGGACAGAGATATGTAGGAGATAAAGTCATACAGAAAAAAAAAAATTATTTCCTTTCTTTGAAACAAGAGTACTCATTTCTTGAGCTTTAAGTGTTTGGAATTGAGGGTAGGTTCAAGACCAGAGTTGCAAAATGACCAAGGCCCAGAGTGGTATACACAGACATACTATAGGGAGTCTAATCTAGAAGTGCAGTCAGCTGCAATCACCTCTGCTTCTAGTCCTTCTTGCTCAGATGATCTGGTTTTTTTACAAATTAGGTAAATAAAATATTGTAATATATAAATAAATTATGTTTTTATAATAATGATTCATGACGTGCCATTTTTATGTGCACACTATTAACAGATTTTGAAAGGATACGTTTCATAATGAATTTGATATGGGTCATATACAGCTTACCATCATAATCGTTACCAGATAAATACAATAGTTTTGGGGTTTGTCTTCTTGCTAAAATTTGGTCACAGAATTACATTATGTTTTACAGAGAGTTCACTTCTGGTCCTTAAGCCATGTTGTTTCTTCTCCAGAAGAACTGTAGTGATAGCATATTCCCAAGGTGCAAGTCTGACAAAGACAAACACAAGATAGAAGCGTAGTGAAAGGCAGCTCTCTGTTCCATCAACAGATGATAAAGCACTAGTTCACACCTCATCTGCATAGCTATCACTGGGAAGTCCTGCTGACTGCAGTTTGGACTCCCTCATTCTGAGTCCTAAAAAACTCTGAAGACAAGGTCTATAGAGAGATGTAGAGGCAGTTGGGATAATACAAAGCAGGTGGAAAATAAGCAAGCTATTGGACATGCATATTATTCAGATCAGCTTCCATATTGAACCTAAAAGTCTGTGCATCTAAAACTTCTCTGTTTAACGGTTGCTATATGATTTCAGTTGTTGAGATTGTTTTTCTCCTGCCATGCTTAGTGTCCTGCTGTGCTTAAATCCTTGAAGTCATTGCAGCTACTGTGTTCCACTACAAAATTATCCCTAAAGCAGAACTACAGCCATAGCTATCTACTATTCTTTGCAGCTTTAGTAGAAAATAAAACAAATTAACCTTGGGAAAAGGAGATTTGGAAGCTTAGTTTGTCATTTTCCTTTTCTCTGACTAATTAAAGAATTAATTTCTCAAGCGGCCATTCTATTTATTGCCACTGTCTGTAAATCAATATGTCTTCGTATGATAATACTAATAGGTACTATAACTCTTTATATGTTGAACACAATATACAGAGCATTATAGCTCCAGTGAAATATATTCTATTCGTGATACTCATTTTACATGATAAAATCAAAAGAAAGATATGACATTTACTCATAACATTCAGTGAAGGAAGTAGAATCAAGAATAAACCTTAGTACTGTTGACTTTCACAAAAATAATTAATTTCATAAGGGAATTGACAACCTTTGTATTTGACAACAGTACCATTGGAAATTAGACTTTACAAATTCACTTGTTACGTTACTGTGATTTTTTTTTTCTCTGAGTACAATGAAAAAGAAAGCCATTTCTAGAGAAACAGAGACTTGAACTGTAAACAAGGCTGAGAAATTCTGCTCATGAAAATGACTGCAAGTGGAAAATGCAGTGATCTTATGTCATGTCTGAACAAAACATTGTTTCCATGTATTTAAAAAAAGAAAAAAAAAAAAGAGGAGGAGATAGTTTTCCTGTTTAGTCTCTAAGGTACATCTACTCTTCTGTTGGGCCAGATTCTGAGCTTGTAAGAAATTAATCCACATACATTTGATTTCTTCGGCTCCTTTGGTCATTTTGGAAGCCCCCCCAAGTTCTTGGGGAGAGAGGAGGGATGGTGCCCTCAGTTCCTTTTGTGTGTTCTGCATGCCACAGTCAACTGAGGAAGAGTGGGAGGAGGGGGTGGCATAAGCCAGAAGACTTCTAGAGCGCTTAAGAATATCTGTCACCACATCACATTCAAGACTCAAGGTTTATATGTTTTTCTATCAGAAACTATACAGATTTTAATTGTCCATGAAGAAATTTTTTTACAATGTTGCTTGCTATTTATTGTCATTCAGGAAGCAAGGTGATTGCTACTTTTTTTTTTTTTTTAAGAAAAATCCTGGCAAAATGGTAGAGAGGATCATTAGCTTATTCAAGTCTTCAAGACATTTTAAAAATGTGGAAAGAAAATCCCCACATATGGATAACAAGCTATATTTATTTCTCTTGTTCAGTTTGGAGGTTTTTTTTGGGGGGAAGTTTTTTTTTTTTCTTTTGTTTAGTTTGGGGGTTTTTTTTGGGGGGGGGGGGTGTTCTTTTTACTTTTGAAAGGTTAGCTATATGCCTTAAAATATTGTCAGTTAAAGATTTACGTGGTATTTTCAACAGTTTAAAAAGTTGAGTTCTTTGAATCACTCTAGGTGAAGTAGCATATGTGAGTAGTAACCGTTGGTCTTACCACAAGATAGTTTTGGTCTGTCTGTGCAGGAAAGGTTTAAGATTGGTCTTCAGCAAAACCACTAAGAAAAAAAAAAAAAAAGATATCAAAGATCTGTGAATTTTTTTTTGTTGTTCTTTAATCTAGCTGTAAAAGTGTGAATTTTAAGTTGATACCTGAGGTTTAAAGGAATGCAGCTTATTTTCTTTTTAAGGCATTAGAAGAGAGAAATAGGTATTATATGCAGCAATAACTCAAGTGTTGTTCTCCTTCTCTGAAACTGTATAATTCAAAGCTTTAAAGTACAAGAGTTTCATAGCTATGTATTTTCCAAAACTGTTAGGCAGTTTTATTTTCTTCTAATTTTTGCTCACTTCAAATTATTTATTTTACCTTAAAAATCTGAAATGCTCTAGCTAAAGAGGGAATTTGAAAAATACAGCATTTCAGATTAATGACTTGAAAGTAAATGGGTTCTCTTTGAGAATACTCCTGTCATGTTATTGCACTTCTTGTCCAGTAGATGTTGCTGTACATACATAAAATGGGAAATTTTCTAACTATAAAATTCTACATCTGCACTTAACCCAGTATTTGAAATAACTTTTTCAGTACAATTTACCCTACTGTGTTCTCAGCAGACTCCACAGAAGGCCAGAACTACAAACAGGAAGACTGTTAGTCAAACCATGTTTTTCTTCAACTGTAACTGTCTCATGCAAAGCATACTCACGTTCCTCGGTTTTCAAAGAAGTGAACTGTCCATGAAGATGCTGATTATTTTGCAGAGTCTCTTTTACAGTTAGTTGAATTATTTAAAGAGCATCGTCAACAAAATGCTGTTCCTAAAAAAAACAAACAAAACCCCCTCAACCCTCCCCCTTACATGTTACAGTTCCAAATTGCCGTTATTCCAAGAAGTGTCTCCCACTTCACATCAATGTCCTTCTCTGGGCAGCTTCCATGCTGAGAAAATAGTTTCTTCATATAAACTTGATGCACAATTGGGCTACATATGTTTTAGCTCTCACTAACTTTGCAGTGAGAATACTTTTGACCTCATGAAGTTCATATTGCTTGAGCTATTCTTTTATGCTTGTCTCTGACTTTGTCTCAAATACACGTTGTTCCTCAGAATTAAACATTAGCACACTGACCTACAGTAAGTAGAGTTTATTGATATATATATAGTCTTTGTTTATTGAGATGCCCTGAGTTAGTTTTTATAATTGCATAATAAACTCATCAGTTTTCACTTCTTCACTTTGAAACCCCCTTTTTCAGAATTATTTTAACAGTGGTTATAAGATACTTACTTACACTTTTCAATTTTCTCATTTTCACAAGACTGCTGAAAAATCTGGCCAGATGGAAAGATCAAAGAAAAATGCTAGGCAAAGACAAAATGATTTCAAGGTAAGTTATGGGGGGAGAACCTTGCTCTCTTTCAGTTGTCCTCCATAGCAAGATACTTTAGCGTCACCACCTTGAAAATCAGATTTCTTAAATCGTGTGTGTGCCCTTATACCTCATTCTCCTCTACTCTCTATCATGTGGAGCCACCTGTAAATCATACATTCCAAGCTGTTGTGTATACCAAGCACATGGCTGCTTAAGCACAATGATGGAGCTTTTTGCTTGATTTTTCTTTCCCTTCTTCTAATGCAGAAAATGATTCAGGAAGTGATGCACTCTCTGGTAAAACTTATCCGTGGAGCTTTGCTTCCATTCAGCCTCAGAGAAGGAGAATCAAGACAGTATGGGGGCTGGGAGATGAAAGCTGAACTTTCTGGCCAGTGGCTAACACATGTTATCCAGACTGTAAGGTAATGGTTCTGTGGACCTACAAAATGATGCTATTCTGGGAATATGTGTGCTTTAAGAGAAATTGGTTTATTTATTGCATTAAATAGCCTGAGTGGTGAGAATGTTAACATTTTGAAAATTAAGATTACAAAAAAATTACTTAGGGCAGATTTAGGATGCTATGTCCAAGTGTAATAAATAATGTCTCATGATATAGCCTTATTACATAATGATATATTCATTTTTTTCCGTAGCATCTTAGGAAGAAGTTTGAATAAAATATTTGCCTGATACAGCATAGACACTCCATGAATGAAACAGAATTTGATTCTTTACAGGAGAAAGCAATTATCTGCTTCATTTGCTGCACATCCTCCCATTTCTGCCAAAATGGGTGAAAATAGCTTCTCACTATAGTATCATTTTTAAATCATAATTTACTTTTAGAGTTGTTTTATGGAAGGTGATACTCCTGCTTATAATATCATTCTACTTATAATTACGTTTATAAACTTAGTAATGTGCACGTCATTAATTACAAAATGCCTTATTAATAGACAGAATTTGCTTCCATTTGTCTATGGAGGATATAAGAATTGTCATTATCTTTTGGAAACTTGAGTAATACCTGGATATGGTACTGTACTTTTTATCTGCAGTTTTCAAAGTAGGTAACAACAAAGCACAGAGGAAGAAAAGAAAGGGATATAATCACATATAGATATTCTCATTACAGATGGAGCTAGCAATTATACATACCTGCTGTCAAGTGTGCTTAACACTTTCCTGAAGTCTGTTGTCAGTTACGTTATCTGTGCTTTAACCATTCAGAAAAAAATTTCCATGTGAAGTTTCTTATTCTGGCTGAATTTTATGGAAGGCTTCCAATTTAAGAAGGAACTGACTTGGCATTTGATGAAAAGATGTAAAGGGGCAAGGGAACAGGCTTTGGCACCGGTGTTTCCCTTTTATGAGAAGCAATCCAATTTCACTCAAATTATAAAATTCTAGAATTTAACACTTGCATATCTGTAATATTGGCTTGGAAATTTAACCAACAGATTCTTTAAAGGTTGGTTGTGCTTCAGAGTCCTGCCACCCAAGGTATGATCCAGGCTGAGTTTATAGGATATGTGAAGGCTCTTTTTCAGGGAATCTCCTCTTGCTTTCTGGCCACTGCCCTGGTAATGAACAACTGAACTGAAAGCTGGGGAAATTCTCTCTCCCTCCCACTCTTTTCCCCACCTCATGTTCTTTACTGATGCCTGTGCTGGTGCTTTAGTAAAGTGAGCTAGACTTTAATGCAAAGCAGTCAAAAGTAGAGAAGAAAAAGGGCAACCTGGAAAAGAGGAACTGAACATACCATGATGGAGTACCGACCAGTGATGACCAGGTCAGAAGTTTTTGGAAGTGCTGCTAGTGCTTTTCTTTTTGAGCCCCCACGCTCTTTGACAATCTAATAAATTCTTGTGACTGACACTAACAATGAAGGTGGACTCTTCCCATGAAGAGTCCACACATTGCATAAACACCTTATTTGTTGCAAAGTTATGTAATAGTTTAAGTTTTATTTTTATAGTTCCTAATGTTATGAAGCACATGATAGAATTGTACTCTTTTCAGTGATCTCACAAAAGATTTACTGTCTTCTGCTTGTATTTAAGAATGCTAAACCTTACAAACTTAGATAACAAGGAGTTGGTGTTACACCTGTGTGATCTTAATTTTTCTGCTTGTTTATATGTATCACACAGCTTAAAGTAGGGTGGTTGCACAGTCTTTCTCTTGTACCCCACTTTGTCATTGCCCAGTTTGAATAGGTTCTAGAGGATAAATTAGAGATACGCGATAAGGTGATGCCATTGTTGGCAAGACTTTTGCCTTGTTGTAAGGATAGAAAGGTATATATTTGTTAGGGCAAGTTATATGAGGAAAAGATGGTCTTAGGGATGTGACAGCTGCGTGCTCCCTTAGAAATGGAATCAACTCCAAGTACAGGACTTCCGTGCAGTCTAAAGTCACTTAAACTTCTCAGAGATGGGTATTTACATCCTGTGTTTCCTGAATGTGCAGTGCAGATTTCTGTAAGTACCAATTCAGTAGTTGTGCTGAGCAGATAGCAGTCTGGTTAATGGTGGGGATTTGACGGTTTATGCCCAACGCTGAGGGTAAGGAACTGGAGCCTACAGGTGGATGATTGGAAATGTTCCACTTACTACTCAAACTTGTTTGCTTGTGCCTTCCTACTCCTGTTCTTTGGCATTTTCTAGTACCTGTGCTTTGCTCAGTATTAGCAGTCGGGAAAACGACTGCTTATGAATTATCCTTTCTTAAATATCCAAGAGTTGGATAAAAGCAGTAAACCTCACTTTGTGCCCCTAACTAAAGTGAGCACAACTGCAGCCTTTTAGTTAAAAGCCAAAATGCTATTCCTTGTAAGCAGCTTGTGTGTTACTGTTTCTAAAGGAAAAAATGGAAATGAATGTTTCCATCCTCAGCTATAGTAGCTGGTGACTTGTGCCCGGTCAGAGCTGGGAGCAAAACAGTGAATGAATTCACTCTTCACTTTGCAGGTAATGCAGTAGCTGTATTTTGGCTCCTTAAATGCGTGTACTCTTGGCAATGTGATGCACAGCCACATCACCATTTATGGCAGCTTGATGGCTGTTACTGTTGTAAATGTGGGTAAACAGTATCTCGAAAACCCTGTTGTAGACCTAGGATTTGATCTAGGCATTCACCTAAAAACAGCAAAAAAGCTACTTCTGCTCCAAAATGATTATTCTTGGATTGTAAGACAAAAGATGGATGCAGAAAGGCAGGCGGGGAAGTGCAAGAGGACAGTAGGAAAAGTTGGCATGTTACTATGACATTACTGTAATGTTACAAAAAAATACATCTGTGTTTGTAAGCTTCTGAACTAAGCAAATAATTAATCTTCTCTGAATGGGATGATCAGTTTTCAAAGACTCACTGTGGATGGAGCTGCTGTATTCACATATACAGAAAACATAAAAAATTCAATTAAGTTCTATCAGCTTAAAAAAACCTGCAGATTTACACTTCGGTCTAATTTTATTTGCTTTCCAGGCTTAGTTCTGAGTCTCTTACTGCACTCGAGATACCCAATGATATGCTTCAGATCATCCAGGATCTTATTTTGGACCTTCGTGTACGTTGCATTATGGTGACCTTACAACACACAGCTGAAGGTAATAAAAGGCTGCAGGTCTCTCTGTTTACTATCATATTTTTTTGGCTCTGATTAAGCCAAACCATGTTCTGGAAGATAACCATGTTTGTTACAGATATTGTAGTGGCAGTGGACTTCTCCGAGTTCTGTAATATCTCACAAGAGTTACTCAAATATTTCACTTTTCTGGCAGAAATGTGTGTTATGAGTGTTTTCTTAATCTAACGAATACAGTAGTTTAGATCTGTTTTCTTTGGGTTGAGACAGTTTTACAATGCAAGTGATTTATCTCATGATGCAGCTTTTCCGTATTGGAAATATCGTTTATTTTCTGAGTTCTTCTGTGAAGTGAAGAATTAAATAAGCAGTGCCCCACCCCCAAGAAAAAAAAAAATCCACAGCCCTTTATGAAGTATTTTAGTTGTGTGTTTTCCAAGACTGTTTACTAATATTATAATCCCCAGGCTTCCTACTGTGTACACAGCTTTTGCCATAAATGTCTGGATTGTCAAGGCCAGTAACACATTCTCTAAATCTGATGTGACTCTGTGTGCATCAGAGGCCATTCATCTTACCGTCTTGTATTCAACTCTGAAACTTGAATGTAAATGAAGTAAATCTTCCAGAAATAAATGTCTCTCTTAAAATGTCAGGGCAGATTGATCTACTAATTCACTTAGCAGTGTTTGGTTTTTTTCCAAAAGACTAATTACCCTTAATGTTAAAAAAAATTAGGGCTTTTTTTATCTTACAATTTAATCATTTTTTAATCTTTAACACATAATTCATCATTATTTTGTAGGCTGACATGACGCTAAGTGTTTTACCCAAGCCTCAAGTGTGCGAAGTGCAGGTGGCTATATTAAGCAAATTTTTAAACTTTTGATGACAACAAATCATAAAGCCTCTATGGTTTATTTGATACAATGTTGACATGAATTGTATTCTTGGCTCTTAATTCTTTTATTAAATCCTATTTCAGCATTAACCTTATTTTTCTGCGTTAATATCAAGCTCGTTGGCCATGCAAGTACATAGGTTGTCTTGTCTCTTTGAAACTCCTTAGGGAAAGTATTACCACTATTTCAGATTTCACTTAAAGTATGAGGAAGTCTCTTGTGCTTTTGTTCACTTAGCACAATTGAGATCAATTTTTTTTTTAAATGGCAAGTGAAAAAGATTCTTTTTCTTTTTGTGACATGAGGATGTCTTGTTGGACTGACTGCCCTCTGTCTAGGAATTGTGAGTGATTCCTCAGATTTCCTGACTCTTTCAAAGGAGGGAAGTATGTAGCTCCGAACCGTTTTCCTGACAATCCTTAGCTTATCAGATCTCTGTGAGCTATACGCCTAGCTTCTCCAGTGCAGTCCAGAGAGCTCTGATACGTGATTAATGATGAAGCTCTAGGCTAAAAAATCGGCTGTCTTACTAGTTTTGCCTACTTGTTGTGTCATAACAGTAGCCCAGTTCTCTGTTCAGATCCAGAGTTTCTGCTTCTTACGTCCCGATTGCTGGCCACGTACATTCTGTGGAGGAAAAACTCTCTTATGGTAGTCTGTACCTTAGATTTTTAGAAAAGCAGATTTACCAGTCTGTGTTTGAATGATTCTCTCTTTGAGCTGAACATCTTTATTCATACTTTTCTTTCTTGAATCAAAAGAGATCAGATCCCTTAAGATGCCGGTATATTACGTTGGCTGGATAATCATAGAATCATAGAATCGTTTATGTTGGAAAAGACCATAAGATCATCAAGTCCAACTGTTAACCTAGCACTGCCAAGTCCACCACTAAACCATGTCCCTAAGCGCCACATCTAATGTATCTCTCTTTTGCCTAGCCAATAACGGCAGCCTTCCTCGACTGCTGCTGCTATCCCCTATCAGTGAAGTTCCATGTATTGGCTATAGCATCAAACAGGGGAAAAGATGCCCGCCTGTCAGATGCCTGACTCTCACTCCATACTGTTGCACTGCATGCCTTATCTATGGGACCCTTTTTTTTTGTTCTTTAACAGCTAAAGCAAAATTGCATATGTTGAATGTGTTTAGATAGTTTTTTCTGGACAGGACCAGGTTAACTGGGCCCTTGGAGAAACTGTTATTTTTAGAGAACCAGTGAAAGAACAGTTAATGGATATTCTCATGGAGCTATGTAAATGTATCTCAGATGTAGTTATATCTGTAATATATAAGTCAAAAAGGCTCCTCCTGGACTTGAATCTCACCTCTATAATCTCTCCGAAATACGAACTGCATAGACTGCTGATATAAAGTTCAGTCTCATCTCTTGCTGCGTGTTGTAAGCTGCTAAAGGCATTCAGATCAGTTAAAATTTTTAATAGGGCATTCTACCATTAGCTATTTAAATAGGACAAATCTGCCCACGCACAGGGTTTTCTTGTTGTCTTATGATAAACGCCATATACTCATGCTGGCCCTGAGAAGCAGTCTGTGTTCTTTCCCTCTCGTGTGTGATCACTGGTCATAAAGGTCATGAAAGCCAAATTATGTGAATGCCAGACTAGACAGGGGGTTTACATGAATGTATTTGACTGGAATTTGGTAAGCAGTGAAACACAAGAAAGAAATTTGTTTCTCTTGTATTTGTATTGGCTCAGAACAGAATGCAAAAGCGAGCAGCCGCAAAAGTGAGCAGCCACAAAACCATGTAAAGGCTGACCAGTGCAGTCTAAAGCCTCATAAGAATATTGGTTTAATTAAGAGGTTTCCTAAATAGGGAAACGAAGAGAGTAATTATTCTACACAATCGCTTGATACTTTTTATCCTGACTAAGCCTATACTTCCATGAGATGTAGAATTGCAGGGTATAACACCATAACGAAGCTTCTTAATTTAGCTGATTAAAGCACCAAGATAGTGAAGATACCTTTTAGCCTGCATTGGTTACCCTCTTTTCTTGGATTTTGGGGAGAGATATGGTAATTCACTGAAATTTTTGCTCCTTTTAAAGGGAGTTTCCTGATGTACAGACAGTTCTGATGAGCAATTTATGTGTGAAAAACTATATGTCAAAGCCCCCGTGGGCTGCACACAGTTCGTCTTTGTTCTGTTCACAAGTTGATTAAGCCCCAAAAAAAGCAACGATGCAGAATGCATGTGTCCATAGAGGAATTTTGTTTCCAGTGCATGAGCTTTGGTTTCACATCCTGACTTGGTTCCTGTTAGCTTCAGTAAGCCTATAGAAGTTGGCACGTTCTGGGTAGCGGAAGAGAGTGCTTTTTGCATATGCCTTCATGTATTTTTGAAGAAAGTCTGGCACCATGGATCCTTGACCCTGAGTGGGGACTCTGAGCCTCTTTTATAGTTATTAAATATGAATTATATGCTGTCCTTTCTGTCTTTGCTAAAATGCTAGGCAGTTGTTTTTTCATTTTTAATTAAGAGCTGGACTATAATAGACTAGAGACTTGGATTCTTAAATGCAGTATTTTATGTTGTGATTAAAAATTTACAAAATAAAAACAGACCCAAAGCCTTCACAATATTCCTTTAATGTTAAGCTTTCCAGTAAAAGATGTACTTCATGCAACTCTTGCCATGTATCATAGATACGCTTCTCTATGTGGTGTCACCAGCATACCATGTATGAGTTCCATTCTTAGTCATTTGAGAATGATGAAAGCTTTGAAGCTTTTAGTGCTATTTGCTTGTATGCCTAGTCATTGCAGTCCCAATGTCTGTGGTTTATCTTTGCAAGTTCAAGGAGTTTTTAATAATGAAAACAATGAAGGTTTGACATCGTTGGTGGGTATACTTGTGTGTCTTGTAGGCACTTTCTTTGCTGGATTTTTTTTTTTTTTTGCAAGTTTAATGAAACTGGTTTCTATATTCTCCAAAAATTGAATTATTTAGGACCTTGTCTATATGTGTGCATACTGGTGTCTATAGTTTTATTAAAATATGAAAACAGAGGAAGAGAAATACAAAATTTTTTGTTTGGATGGTTACATATTTACAGAACTCTTAACAGATCCCATCACCAAACACAAAGTTATTTTTTTCTTCCTTTTCCAAAATTTTTATTTGTACTTCTCAAATTATTATGCCTGAAATAACTTTTAAGTGATAATGGTACTATTAAACAGCAATATTTTTGAAGGTGCAAAACAGGGGAAAAAAAAAAAAAAGCCTAAATAAAAGCTTTGAAGATTTGTTCCATGTATTGAGACACAAAAATAAATAAGAATTGGGCATCAAGATATATAGCATGACTTTCTGCCTTAAGTAGGGTTATTTAAATGTATCAGTATAATTACTGCTGACCTCTAGCATGATTTTGCTGAGATAGATAATAATAACTTTCATTGTTAAGCATCTTATTTTAGGGATGGTTTACTGAAGTAAAAAATTATTTTTTGAGGTCACAACAAGTTCAGTTCACATCAAAATGCATCATAACTTAGTAGGCACACTACCATGGAATTGGTCTGTAGTTAAATAAATAGGTCACTTATATGTTATAATGAGAAATTGAACTGAAAAGCAACTAATTTAGGAGATTGCCTACACACAAACAACAAATGACTTGAAACCAAATTCAGATAAATTAGTGAGATGCTTTCTGGAAATACACAGTAATGACTAATGCCTAAAACACAGCAAGCACGTTGTAGGTGTGACTTAAAAACAATCTGCGAAAGCAGAAAGGGCCTGTGGGAGGGAGAGTTGCTTTGTGTATATTATCTAACAGAATGCTCCACAGACTTTTTTAGTTTTTCTTATTTGCTTCTATAAATACATGTTTGAAGTTGAGTAGGAGGGCATTAAGCAATCACAATATATACATTGTAGGAAGGAGTGTTGTTGAGCAATTGTAGTATTATAACCAGATTTACAGCTTCTGGTCTTGGTTTCAGTTGTCGCTGACTTGGGCAAGTCCCTTAACTTTTCTGTTTTTCACTCTATTCATCTGTAAAATGGAGGGAGGAGGAAGGATCTTCCACAAAAGCTTTGTTTCTTTATGCTTTTGCTGTATCCTAACCCATCTTTGTTTAAAAACTGTGTCAATCTTTTTTGTATTTAGTAATCACCCATGAATTCCTTGTATACAGGACTTTCCTAGATACCTTTTGAGGCCGTGGTTGAGACATGCCAAATTTTAATGGTGGCAGTTGACTATGTTTGTCATAGAAGGGTTATTTATCTACTGGAGTTCATTGTGGTAATATTTAGCAAAAATTGTAGCAAGAATTAGCCAATATAAACAAGGGCCAGGCAGTCTCTCTGGGGACATTTTAGGCTTAAGACAGAAATTGTATTTTAAGGTTGTAGGAAATATTGGTTGATAACCTCTTTAGCATTTATATTCCAGGTAAAAAATACAGTAAGACACAGAACCAACTTTCCTCAGTTTCATAATATCCAAAGAATAACATATCTGAACAGCTTTCTTCTCCTGAGGTGTGATGGTTTATTATGTGGAAGCAAAAAAAAAAAAAAAACCCAGCACGTTACTGCTGTTCTTTTTCTTTTAAGCGGGGCCAAAAATAATAAATACAGATTGTCTTAGTGGCTTTTTTCACAACTTTCAGGTTGCCATGCAGGCATCACTTTTATGATCCACCTCCACCCCAGCATTTACAGAAATAAAAGTTACTCCTAAGCCTAAAGCTGGTGGTGTGCCATAAACTATCTACTGAATGAAAAGCAGGTTTATGTGGCTTAGAATCCTTTTTTGTCCACCTCTTTGATACAAATCCAATAGGATGATGTTCCTCTTTTCCAGAGCAGTGACACCTCTCCACTTCAGGTTGCCCTTGTACAACAGCTTCCTGTCTAATACCAGCAGGCAGCCTCATTTAAAAAAAAAAAAAAAAAAAAAAAGTTTGACTTCACAGGGAAGAGAGAAAGACAAGGAAAAACTGACTAATGACTCTGATGCTGTGAACTCGTTTGCACTTTCAGAGTGAAATTGGTACGTGCATCAAGACATTCGTACTTCAGGTTTGGAAACCTGAAGGTAAAAAAAGCCCCCCAGACCAGTGGGGTTTTTTTCTTCCATGTGAAAGCAATTTCAATCTGTTTTTCTTAGAAACCTTTTGCTGAACTAAAATGCAGAAATATCAGATATCCCAGGTGAACTTCTATCCTGACTTAGATCAAGGAGGGGGAGGAGGAAGGGTGTCACAGGCATCTATAATGTAATTGTCAATATATGCTACCACAAACAAGCTATAAAAATCCTTCATGACCCTTTTAGAGGAGGCTGTTTGGTGTAGAAGTCTCTCATTCAGATAAAAAAAAATGTACATTGATCTATGGTAATAATTCTGTAGATAACTTAAGTGCAAAAGTACATCACTACAAAAGGATCCTTTGGTAATATATGAATCGTGAATATATGCTACCACAAACAAGCTATAAAAATCCTTCATGACCCTTTTAGAGGAGGCTGTTTGGTGTAGAAGTCTCTCATTCAGATAAAAAAAAATGTACATTGATCTATGGTAATAATTCTGTAGATAACTTAAGTGCAAAAGTACATCACTACAAAAGGATCCTTTGGGTTTTTTTTTTTTTTTTTTTTTTTTTTTTTTTTTTTTTTTTTTTTTGGTAATATATGAATCGTGATTTTTTTTTTTTTTTTTTTATCTTATTTGGGATAATTTAGAAATTATTCCAAATGGGATAACCTTACCATATGGCATGGAAGTTTTTATATATTTGTGTAGTATACATTTGACATGCTTATCTAATGCTAACAAGTCATTTGCCTTTCAGCCATCCCAGTTTGAACAGTGCATTATCCATTCCTTGCAATCTCTTAAAACTGTGCTGGACTGCAAACCTGGAGAGGCCAGCGTAAGTTTTGATTTATGCTTTTATTTTCATTCTTTTTATGTAAATTACTGTTCGGTTTCAGAAGAAGAACTTTCAGAGAATGATACAGGGGTATAACTTTATTGTTTTCCATGTACATCCTTTTCACCACTTTTAGCACTGTGTTTCCTTTGTTAGGGGTAATTGTGTGTCTGTATATAAGCAGACTGGACCTATGTTTAAATCTTTAAAGCTGTTCTTTAGAAAGAATACTACTAATGTTATTTTCAGATAGCAGTAGATGTGACTTTATTTACATGGAAAAAGAAAAGAGGGGGGAGGCATTCGTAGAAGTTACTCTTCGCATAGTGTTGCACCCAAACTACTTGCAGAACTTGAATTCAGCTTTTTACTTCTGTAAACTTTACTCTAAATAAGGAGTCGTGATTGTCCCCATCCACTTAGTACCTTGCGGCCCTGATTGATTGTGATACTGATGTTTTATTTCAGGTTTCAGTGATCTAAGGAAGTTTAACACTTTTCCAAAGTTCCTTGGGCCCCTCTGTATGGGTATTCTTTCTCTCTCCTCCCTTATTTTAATTTTTATGGGTAGCTTGTCTAGTTTCTTACTGCAGATTCTTTTGAATAATGTTCATTATGGTCAATCCTTCTTGTTAGGGGTCAAAGATCTTTCAACATCCTGGGAGCTTTTGCTGCAATTCCATTAGCCAGCAATGATATGTATCACGTGTACTACGTACTAGGACTTCTTTCCTTTTAGAATCATAGAATCATTTTACTGTGTTGTCTACTCATGCTTGTCAAACTGCTTACTGGGACTTGTACTCTCTCTCCCCATTTTTAGGGTGGGGAAAAATTGAAACTGATCCGTAAGAACACACTGTGTCCCAGCAACCATTCCTATAATTGTGTCATCTCTTTAGGGATAGGTTACTCAGAGCTTCCTTGAGAATAAGGCCACGTGAAGCTGTTCTGCTGAAATAATATGCTTGCATTTTCAGGTTTTCCAGCAGCAGAAAACACAGGAGGATGTGTGCCAGCTAAGCATTGGGATCATGCAGGTAGCTCAAGCACTTTTAAGTATGAAATTGTGAACACAAGTGATCAATAAAAATGTGTGCTTTGTACCCTGCCCACCTCCCAAAAGGCAGCTTAAGTTGATGACTGTGTTATTCCTCTGATATACTCTGGGATACTGAGAAATGCTTGACTTTAAAAGTATGTAGAGCTTAGTAGCTGAATCTGATGATATCAGATCCTCAGAGGGTAAGTGACATATTCAAGTATTTTCCTGATTGTGACTGTTCAAGATTTTGCTGATGATTGAGAGACACTTGCTGAGCTGATGTCATCTGACATCGACACACTGCAGTAAAAGGAGCAATGCCGATTTTCATCAGCTGAAGATTTAGCTTTTAATTTTTGTATCAGAAAACAATATTCTTTGTAACAAATTCTGTTTTTTTTTTAAAAAAATATATTTGAAATGAGATAATAGCATGCTTTAGGCTTTTGAACCATTTTTATAGTCTTCTCAAATAAGAAATCATGAGCCAAAGCAAAAATTTTAGATTTAGATTTTTGGATTTTAGTGATGCTTCTAAGATGTTTACTTGGGATCAACTGTTCAGATTTAACACTTGAAAACTATTAATAATGCCTTCTTTGCAAATCAGCAGATTATCACTGCATAATTTTAGCCATGCATGATGAGAATTACTTAGCAGAATTAAAAACTCCTGTGTTTTGCTACAAATAAGCTGTGATGCATATAAAATTGAAAATATGCTTTCATAAGGTGTAACTAAAATGTTACTGTATTTATGTAAGGTTTAAGACAAAGGTGATGATGGTTGTTCTGCTTCTACTGACTGTAGTAAATTATTATTATTTTTTATTTTTTTTAGTTCTGGCAGAAAATGTAGATCTTACTTTATTGTTTCCTAGGTCTTCATAGACTGTTTGGAACAACTGAGCACCAAACCTGATGGTGACATAGACACAGCACAGTAAGTAAAATAAATAGGACCTAGGTGTAGTATTCTGAAATTCTGGGTGCAAGTCTCAAACTTAAGTGGTGGTGTGCTTTTATCCCCTCCAATATTTCATATTTCTTGTGAATCCTTTCTGCTTCTGGTTAGTGAAGCTTTGAAATAAGAGCAGGTACTTCTTATGCCAAACAACTGAGTGACATCATGTAATAAATATTGTACAAGATAATGAATATGGTATTACTTATACCATTCTAATTAATGACAGTTGTGTGCTGTAGAAGCAGGTATGTTGTTTTTGACATGGCCTTACATGGAATGAATTGTCCTTGTCACTAAGTAATGTCTAATCATGGAGAAACAGCCCCTGCCTTTCTTACCTTCTGTTTTGACTGGTTCTATTGGTATTTCTGCTAAATTCTTGGAAGTTTGTTTGTTCGATAATTGCTCATGAGCCACTTATTTTTGAGACCAAAACGAGTCAGAATAGCCTGAATTTCCAAGAGTACCGATCATTTCTTTGTGAAAAGCCAGAGACTTGGCAAATATTGGTACCTGCAATATGCATTAGAAAAAGGCAAATTAACTGTGTTCCTAATGCCACTTTTTTTTTTTTTTTTTTTTTTTTTGGTTTCTCTTTTTGGTTGGGAGATTTAAAAAAAAAAAGGGATCAAAAGCCAGAGACTTGGCAAATATTGGTACCTGCAATATGCATTAGAAAAAGGCAAATTAACTGTGTTCTAATTCCCCTTTTTTTTTTTTTTTTTTGCTATTTGGATGACTCTGTTGGCTGGATAGATGTAAAAACAAAATGGAATCTGTGGCAAACCAGAGAAATTATAGAAAATTAAAATGCTTTAAGAAAGAAGGGTTTGTAGCTAGAATAGTGATGTCTGTCCACAAAGCTCCTGCAGGTTTTGTGGACATCTTAGAAAAACTGAGCAACATGGGCTGCTTTATTATCTGGTGTGAGGGGGCTTGAAACAAGATTCCAGTCTTCTGTTCCAATTGTTCATTTGAATCCACCATGTATCAGATAATCAACAGCACTATACTACTCACTTTTTAAACAATATTCCTAGTCTTTCAGTTGACGTTTCATCTCCAGATTTGTTTGGAAGCATTCATGAAGACTCAAGTCTTTCTTCAGTAAGTTTTGGCTTCTATTTCTAAAAGCTGATGTGAAACTTAATATTTCTCAAAGTTACAGGAATGTGGTCCTCTTTTTAAGTGTTTCAGTTTTTTGTTTTGCCTTTTTAGAGAGCAATTCTGTATTCTACAGGCATTTCCTTAGATACATATATATATAAAAGACAATACAAGGATAAAAGACTTGAAAGTAAGACTCTTTAAAAGTACTCTTTGCTTACGATATCTCTAGTATACCATCCTAAGGTAACTAATGAAGACATTTTTTGAAACCAGGTCCTCCTCAGAAACTAAAATGGCATCACTGAAATCAGTGAAAATAGCACTGGTGTTAAGACAGCTGAGAATTTGACTTTTGATTGATCACCTTGTTTTAAATAGTAAGAACTGGTCTGATTATTAGTTACTTTTTAAAACCCATGAAGATACAGATATTCAGTAATGTAGTGTTTTCCCCCAAAAATTACTTCACTGAGAGTAAGTATTGATTAGTTGCTTGGCTTGTTTGGATTTGGTTTTGTTTTTTTAGGAAATTGGAAAATAGGTTTTTAATATTCTTGACACTTTGACTTTGGTTAATGTACTTTCTTCTATTCCAGTGGCTGATGAAAAAATGTAGTTATTCCCTGCAAGAATCCTAGTGAAGAACCTCTTGTGAAGTTAATATTCCTTATACAGGTTTTAAATGTTGTCAGAAGCCCAGCTTTGCCTCATTTACAAGAGCAATAGACATTCCTGATACAATGAAGTCTCACAGATTGCCAAATGAGGCCAAGTTTCTGAATTGCAGACTATAATAATTACTTCTTTATATCATTTTATTCTTGCGACACATAGATTTTGATATTAACTGTTGACAGGGTAACTTTTTGTGGCTGTGACTTCCTCGTATATGTCATAGGTATGGATGTTTAAATAAAAAAGAAGAAATACACTTTTAGGCAATGTTTGGTTTCCATGGTATCATATTATTTTTTTTCTGTAAATCACAGAACACTATCTTCTCTTTCCTGATTGAGTAATGAGAACAGAGAAAGTGAGTGACCAGAGTAAGATTTATCAAAGTATTTTTAAAATTCTCATTTTTTTAATAGTCTGTATACCAACTGATTATAATTTAAAGTAGTAGGCAACTGCACGTCTCAATACTAGTCACCGTATTACTGGAATACAAAACTGTCAGGAGTTCTTCTGGGTCTGAAAACCAACACTTACCAACATTTTTCATCAGATCTGCTCTATTATGATGATTTCATTGCCAAATAATTTTGTTTTCAAAATATTTGCTGGTGTTGATTTTGAACTTCCATCTGAGGTAGAAAAACGTTTTCCCATTGGGAGAACGAAAGGGGAAGAGGGAAGATCAAACCTGTTTAAATAGTAGTTCTGTCTTGTTTGGTTTTTTGTCTCTTTGGAAAGTACGCCTTGTTGCACCAAGGTCAGGAAAAGGCAATTCTGGCATCTCAACTCCAGAATGTATTTGACCTTCTTGTAATTAAAAAAAAAAAATAAATCATTGAAGAATAGACATATGTTATAACCACCTAGAATTTTTTCAAGTTAACTGCTGAAATTATATTATGTACTTCTGAACCTTCTAGTATTTTAGAATGGGTGAGTGCATTCATTCAGTACGTGTTTTGCTTCCCTTGTTTTAGCCAGCTCATGTGAAAGTGAAGATGATCTTCAGTTAATTTTATGATGGTCATAATTCTTAGCATATTTCTTGAAATAAAGTAAAAGCCAGAAACAGCTTCCTGGAAAGCTGTCCAAACCTAATTTTTGTAAAGAAGTCTTAACCACAATTCTGTATTAGTCACAGCTATTCCAGTGAATGCTCCAGATCCTGTAAGAAAAGGAATACGTGTTCAATCATCATACTTGAAATTCACTCAGTTCTTGGTGTTTTATTGACAAAAATATTTGTAAACTCCACTTTATTTATCAGCATGTTTATCACACACACAGAGTCAATGAAATACTATACATTTACAGTATTGGTCATGCTGCTATTTCTTTTTTCTAACTATTATACTCTTTCTTCTCTTAAAACAAATTTTTAGGAACAGAGGCTTTTAATTGCACTCAGTAACTGCCGTTATCTGGAACGTCACACCTTCCTAAATATAGCTGAACATTTTGAGAAACATGGCTTTCAAGGTGTTGAAAAAATAACTCAAGTAAGTGAGAGCACTGGAATGAAGTATCATTGCTTGAAGGAAACAGTTTTTGTTTGTTTTACTTTCTGTGGAAATTAAGTGCAAGTGTTCAAATGGCCAAAAGGACTCTTGGGTGAGCCTTCTACAAATGAGTGGGACTCCAAGCATGGTTGGTTGTGTTCCTACAAGGCTTAAATAGCTGGTATAGAAAATGTGATCTCTTTCTTATTCAGGACTTGTGTGTTCAATGGCAAAGCTTATCAGATTTCTTAGTAAAGCTGTTTAATGTCACTGTGTTTTCTTAATGCAGAGAGTAAAAGATTGTTATCTCAGAAATATACTTGATAAATTATTTCATCTGCAATCCGCGTTACTGATAGCTGCTGTTCATAAACTAGTTCAGGGTTTTTTTGTTGTGTATTGGTTTTTTGGGTTTGTTTTTTTGTTTTTGTTTTGTTTTGTTTTTTTTTCAAAGAACGAAAATGTCAAAGTGGGCGGCTGTAGCTGTCTCATTTTCCTGCCTTTTTGTAAAGATTAATCATTTTTTATGAGAAATGTTGTGACTTAATCCTTAGGACCATAAAGCTAGCTTATTTCCAGAAACATTTGTTGGTTGGAAGTAAAATGTTATATTTTCCAGTACAGAGTACGATATTTCACTTGAACTGATGTTTCTACTATGTAGTACATCCTTAGTCCCGTTCTGCCTGAATGTTGTTTGAATTTCTGTGGCTTAAGTAATTTCGAATAGCATTTAAATGGGGTTGATATGATTTGTATGGTTAGTACAGTATACAAAATTACTCTAGATATTGCCATTCTTTGCTACTGAGACAACTTGAGAGTTGAGCTAGGTACAGTCAGTGTTGTCTGTATAAGCAAATAAGACATCTGTTATGTATGTATTCAATACTCTGTCTTGTACAGCCACATCAAAGTATTGCCATTAAAAGTCTGGTAGGTTTATAAATTACAAAATTCAAATGTTGAAGTCACAGATTAATTTCAAATCTGTTTTAACCCTTTGAAAGCACTGAGGGGTGCAGTACTGCATATATGGGACACATCAATCAGTAACGCTAGCTGGGAGGATTTGGATAATTAGTCATCTTAAGAGGGCAATTTTTGAACCCTTCATTAATTTTAAGAGAGGCTAGAAGCTCACAGAGGTTTAGAGGGCTTGGGTGATTGTTTCGGTTTTTTGTTCTGTCACCTAAATTTCTGTAAGTTTCTTAATTTCTTCAACTATTTATTAGATTAAAGAATTGACAAAATTTTTGAAGAACAGAATTTGTTTTTATCTGAGAAGACTGAAACAAAACTATACTTTTAAATTATTAGCTTTATAAATTGAATTTTAAAGTGAATTTTGTAGTGTATGTTAGTAAAAACTATCTGTTGTTTGGGGGTTTTTTAAAGTCGCCGTTGTTAGGAGGGAAATCATTATTATCTAATATGCTGAAAATAGAGAAATCATAAAATGGTAACCAAGAAAATTTCCTTACATTCTACGTGGTTCCATTTTTTTTTCTTAGTGTGCCAAATACAAAGTTACATAAAATGGCCAAACTTTATACTCTGCTTTAGCACGTGCCATCTTGACACATACTTATGATACTCACCAGTAATTATATTTAATTTCTACATAACTCTCTTAAGTGCTTTTCTGTGGCAATTCTTTAATTCAACTTTTTATCATCAGTTTAGTCAATTAGCAAGTGGAAAAAAAAATGTATACTATAACATACATCCTAGCTTATTGATTAAGCTTCTGAATAAAATTGTTTCCACAGTTCTGAGACTTAGATAAGGCAGAGGGGTTACTAGGATAGAGGCTTAAAATGGCTTTAATACAAAAATTGAAAACTGTAGTTACAGGGAAGTTCACAGCAAAAAGATAACAATGAGAGAATTGTATATTTTTATGAGCATTTACCCCACTTGGGAGTCAGGAAAATGGGTATACACAGTGGAAGTCGTTGAGGCCTTCTACTCTGCTTCACACAGAGACACACCCGCAATCCTGGCCTCAAAATAATACTCAGTTGAATTGTTCATTCTTGCTTGCAATCTTTCCACCAGCTGAAATACAAGGTTACCTATCACTATCTTAATTGTGCATTGAACTTGAAAGAGTTGAAGAGGACTCGCAGAAAACAAAAAACCTGTACTGAACGTGTAGATGATCTTTTGTACTGAATGACTGCAGAAGAGGGAAGGTAGAATTACTTAATTCTAAAACACTTTGTTAAGGACAACTGAAGCAGTTGGTTCACAGATTCTTTGAATGAGTGTGTGTTTGCAGGGACTTCCCACTGGAACTTGTACTTTATTTTTCCCACTAGCTCAACCCTAATTAGGAATGGTCTAAGGATAATTATTCTCCCTAATCATAAGAAACTGAAGTGAAGAATGTCTTGAAACCCATTCCAGGTTTACATTTCTGTGATCCTGTGTAAGGGGAAAAAGAGTGAGATTTCTGTACATTGTTGAGTGTGGTGTTCTTTTTCAAGTCTTGACTGTCAGCGGTCGGGTAGAAGGGAGAGAAGAAGAAAATAGCCTTGATCATCTCCTGGGACCAAATTCTCAGTGCCTCATGAAAATCCTATCTTTGGGATATAGATCCTCTTGTGACAAATTGGAAGAGGCTCATCAGATAGAAAAGCAGGAAAGCGGTGGTGTCTCTTGTTTCTGAGCACCAACTTCACCATCCCACCTTTCCTGAATCTGGCAGCAACTTTGACCTCAACAATGCCTCTGTTTTCCCCTGCACTTACGATCTCATTCCTGAAGGCTTATCTGTCTGTCTATTCCTGACTCAAATATTACAGTTCACTTTTCACTTAGCAATATAGGCATGCCAGAGGAGAACACAGTTTAGAGACATCCCTGCAGTGAATAAGCTTCATCCCTTATTCTGCAGCTTGCAGCATTAAATCTTTAGAAAGGAATGATAAGGAGTTGGTATTCTTCTTTTCTTTTTTCTGAATTCCCAGGTTGATCTAGAGCCCTGCCTTCTTCCTCACTTTTAAACCCCTTTGCTTCTTCTTCTAGAAGATATATATATACACACAGACATGCTTTTTTCCCTAATGGTTGAGGAAAATGAGTACTAGTTTAAAAGCCTTACTTTGCTATTGCTTAAGCTCTTACTTATAAACATAAATACATTTAAGTAGAAGTCACATGATATTTTCAGCATATTTTATTTTCATTTAGCATCCATTACCATCCGAAGATACCAACTTTCTGCTTAACATTTTGATACGCATTGTGTTCCAGAATTGTTTTAGAAGCTATAATTACAGGGGGTACCTATGTTTAAATTTTATACGAGACTTTTTATTGAAGTTGTTCAGGTACTATGAACAAACTGTGCATATCCCTTTAGCTTTCAGTGTGGCTAAGTTGTGTGAATTACTAAGAATTGTATAAAGAGCTGTTGAAGAGAAAAATTCTGCAGATGCTGGTGAGCTGCAGCTTATGCATCTGTTGTACAGATATGCCTTGAAGTAGAGCGGGAAAGTTCACGTGTACAGTTTCAGAAGGAAGAGACTCCTGAATAAATATGTGTATTTTTCAAATATAGAGCAGACAGTGAGAAATTGTAGTATTACAATTGGTGGATCTTAAGTATTATACAAAAATCTCCATGTTTCAGGATGGAAATTATTATGGGCATATTTTAAAGCATTGACAAAAGTCAGTTGTTTACTTGGTGCAAGATCAAGACCTCCTGACATGCAGGAAAAAAATCATGCCATTAGAGAATTACGGATTGATCTGCATGCTTTGGTATTCCTTGGACTTTTCCCAAAAATGTCTGTTGCTGAGCACAATCAGAAAAATAAAAATTATAGTGAGTAGGATGGACAGATAATATGGAAGTTCCTAGGTTTTTATGTATGTAATTATGAACTGAAATGTGTAAGTAATTGCTACTCTTTACCAAAAATTAAAGAAGACATGAGATATAATTCTTGTAATTAATGACTATTTATTATGTTCTTTCTCTTACTTTTTTTTTTGTTTTGTTTTTTAGGTTAGTATGGAATCCTTGAAAGAGCTGGATCAAAGACTGTTTGAAATGTACATTGAATTCAAGGCAGATCCGATAGTCGGGTCATTAGAACCTGGCATTTATGCAGGATATTTTGATTGGAAAGATTGTCTTGTTCCAGCGGGTAAATATCTGCTTATTAAACTCTGAAATTATTTTAGCAGTGATTGATAGGAGCTAAAATGTACTGTACAATTAAAAACCTTTTTCTAATCTGTGTTTTTAACTTTTGACAAGTTCTTATAATAAGTTCTTTCTCACAGACTTTACTTAATTCCTAAATCATTTTTCAAATACCCCCAAATTATTAAAGTAGCTTTTATCATTGATAATCTCTTTAACACTTGTTTTTTGTGATTATTTTGCTTCATTGGTTATATATAATAGAAAGAATTATAAAAGACATCTTTGAATTTCATAAGAAAATAGCATTGAGATTGTTTGGGATTTTTTCCAAAGAAACTGGCTACTTTTGTAATAGATGTAATTACAGTTCTGAAAAGGTAAAATTATGAGAAAATGCATACTATAACAGTAGTTCAGCAAAGAATGTTAAACCATCGAAGAAGGGCAAGTATAAGGTATTTAGAATGACTGAGGTGTTAGTCATTATTTAGGTGCTTTAAGAGCCTCTGTTTTAAGGAAGCATAATATAAATGAGTCTGGCTTGGTTTGTTTTTTGGGGTTTTTTTGTTTTGTTTTGTTTCTTTAAGTAGTGAATACTGTGCACATCTTAACATTTAGGTCCTTTGAACATCTAATTTGTCATATCTAAAACTAATACATCTAAATCACTTATCACATGAATACCTGGTTAATGCCAAGTAGAAATTAGTTGTGGGACAGTAGTACGTGGCATTTTGAAGGTGATCTTCTATTAATTTTCAGTAAATGAATGATTGACATGACAATTTGTACTTTCTTGTTTTGATTGTTCCATTGAGTTGTATATGGCAAGCTCAGTAGAAATTTTGTGGTACTTTAAAATTTGATAGGGAGGTAATTACAAGAAGCACACTTGTAATCTGTGAATCAAGAGCTGCAGCGCTTGCTCACTGGTCCTTAAAAACACAAAGATTTTAGGGTTTAGTACTTTAGAGAAAAGGGTCTCTTCTATCTTTTGTTAACTACTTTTGTGCTCAGAATATATGCTGTAATACAGTTTATAGCGGAAATAACTTAGATTTTAATCTTGCCTGTTCAAATTTGTATCTGAATAATGCATAACTTCTCGTCATGTTTGAAGTATGTTTTTGCTTGGCGTGTTTGCATTCTCACCAGCTAACAAAGACAAAGCTGTTGTGTCGGCTTTTTATACGCTCATTTCTTGATCTAGTGCATTCGGATCTACTTACTAGACTCACGTTGCCTTTAGGATTATTCTGTAGTATTTTTTCATTTAAAGGGATTATTGAATTAGAGGCATGCCTTAATCTTCTTGTTGTCCAATATATAGTTGGGTTTACTTACATTCTCTGCAACATTTGGCAAAAGTCAAAGGGAAGGTGGTGAATATTAGACTCCTTTTCAGGGTTACATATCATAGTGTTGGCCAAGAGGTGCCAATTCAAAGTAGTAAAAAAGTTGTTTGGGTTTTTTTTGTTGTTGTTGTTAACCCCCAAGCTAGACATGTTAATAAGGGACATATAGTCGCTTCTTCCATGCTTCTCCACCTTGATGAACTGTCTTTCTGATGGATAAATTCTGTCAAATGTACCCTGTTGACTATTGGTATAAAAGAGTAACTTTGAGCACCTTCAGTTTGTCTCCTTGTAGCAATGGTTAGTTGACTCTGAAAATATTTGGTGCTCTGAAGATAAAATTAGTGACTGGGAAAGCCTCCCTCTTGGAGGAGGTAGATGAACTTCATTATTGAAAAGGACTAGGAAAAAAAAAAAAAAACCTCTTCATGGGGCATATGAGAATCTGACTTTTTCGGTATTCAATTAAAAAAAAAAATCACCCAGCAAGCATATAATTGATTTTTTTTCCAATAAACTTGTATTTACAAACAGCATTAAATTGTACAACAAGATTATAGTTGAGAAACTATACCCTTATGTAATCTAAAAGATGCAGTTAGTACTGCAGTAGACATACTATCCTTTCATTTTCCTCTTAGAAAAACCCAAACCAAGCAAAGCTCTGCTTTACAGTTCATATCCAAGTACAGCATGAAAAGTATCTACTTTATTAAACTAAAATAGTGTACAGATGACTGGGAGTGGGTCACACTAGAGTCACACACACAGTTCACTCAAGGATTTGTTAAGGATCGACACATTGATTTGTTGAGGAAAAACAATTATTTGTATAGTAGAAATTACTATCTGTTCTTCAGTAACCTTTATGACTGCAAAATTTAAAGATTTTGAGTCATTTGACTGGTTTAGATCTTGACTTCTGTAGCCTTAATTTTAAAAAAGAAAAAAAGTTGATGGTGTTAGCAAGACAAAACATTTAGGCCTGAGCTGTGGTCCTGAGTGGTACTATCAATGATGTGTAGTGTTGCATAATTAAAGATACTCGATGTTCCTTAGTGGATACAACTATGCCTGATTGCCAAGACGTAATAGTTTGGCCTGAAGTTTTTTTTTTTTTATATGGTGTTTCTGCATTAGCTTTCAAATAGTACTAGTGATAGTAAAAAGGCAAATTTTGACAAGAATTCTTTTTTTTTTTAATGGAAAGAGGAGGGCAAAAAACATCAATTTGCCCATATTTAAAAGATAAGGTAAAAGGCAAATAATTTCCCTGATGTGGTCTGAAACTTTCAAGCATTCCATCTGGCGATTGAAAATTTGACCAGTTGGGACACCATGTTGCTAGTCCAGCCTAGATCTTCAAGACCGCAACTCTTTTGAACAGTTGTACTGGTCAAGCGCTAGCAAGCATTCCTTTCTTGATGCTCCCCCTGCTGTTACCGAGCAGAATGAAGAAGCTAGAAGGCTGAATAGAATGCAGAGAAGACCTGATCTGGGCTATCGGGAAAGTAATGCTTTTGGGTAGATGGAATTGTTCATGGGGAGGATACCGGTGCTGGTAGAAAATAAGGTAACTGCAAGGGAGGGAGCAGACTGGAACCGAAAGCTTGTGATGAAGACTGGTATCAAGCCAGGAACGAAGGTGGAACAAAGGGGGAAACCAGGGCTGGATGAGCAAGGTAGAAATATAAATTAGGGTAGGATTTAGAAATGGAATTAACACAAAATGGATTGAAAAGGATTATACAAAAAGGAGACAGACTTGAAGTGCAAATAAAAGGGCAGAGAAGTCCGATAGTTACTAGATCAGTGAGTTTACCAGAAGCTGCAGTGTAATCGAAGAAATCCCCTCAATCTTGCACTTTTGTCCTCTAGGGATGACAGCCTATTGATGTTACTGATCGCTTTCTTTGCACAGCTGGCAGAACGTATGTATATATTATGATATAGTAACACTGCAGGCAATGCTACGTGCTATGTATAGGCTGAGAAACACAACAATGGCCTAAATGTTTTGCCTTGCCAATGCCATCAACGTTGTTTCTTTTTTAGAATCGAGGCTACAAAAGTCAAGGTCTACATCATCAGCCAAATGACTCAAATCCGTATAAATCTACTGTACAGAAGTTACATGTATGCATTGCCAATTCTGTTGTTGAACCATGTACACCAATGCAGTAGGAGAATTTTCTGGTTTCCATTCTGGTTTTTTGTTTGCTTTCTTTTCAATGTCAGTAAAAATTATGTACAGAAAAAAACTACACAAAGACAATGAAGTATAATCCAGTCTTTAAATAATAACATTTTTTCCCACACGGGTACACTTGACTTGCTTCATGAAATGGAAGCTGGTTTGGTGATAAAACTGGGTTTTGTGTTAAGTGGAGCTGTTACAGGCAAAATCTGTCCTCAGCTGTTACAGATTTTGAGAATTGAGTGAAGCATAATCTAGGAGGGGGAAAAAAAGTGGAGGCAGGATTCTGTCCCTGCCTCCACAGGGTTTTCTATGTCATGTTAATAACTTGCTTAAGCATTTTTGTCTTTATCTTTAAAACACCTTCTTTGACTCCTATCAATTTGAACATTCATGTTTAATTTGACTACCTAAAGCCTTGTAGTATATTCAGACAAATCTTATCCAAACACCTTGACAATCAATTTATCATTGGCAACTTTGCAGTCATCTGTCTGTAAGTACTGGGGACTATACTTCCTTGCAACATATAATTCATGGGGAAATAGAAGGACAAGAACAACTGTAATAAATGAACAGTTCTGAAGAAATTAGAATGAGGTTAAAAAGCCTGTCTTTTGAGCAAGCTTTGAAAAACATGTAATACTAAAGGTTTGTACCGTGTTTCTGTCAGTGTGGAAAAAGCATACGCCTTGCTCACTTAAGCAATTGTCCTGTAGTTATCAGATATTTACTTATACATATGTTTTTTGTTACAGTTTTAAATATAAGGAGGGGCAAATTGTTTGCGTGGGGCAAATTTTAATTTAGCCTATGTGCTAAAACTTTTATTGTTTAGTTTTTCAACATACGTGCTCTTTTCAATATGAAAGTTTTGAATGTCAGAAAGAACTTGTGCACAATGTAATTATACATTTGCCCCTTTATTTTCAGGTAAGGTGTGACTGCTGGTGTTAGAAGGTGGTATGATTAACTTAATTAGATTTATTGTTAATAAATAACTTTCATGTAAATTTTCATTTTAATTTTAATGTTGGCTTCTGAGTCTTTACAACAAAGACTTCAATTTTAACATGCAGTAACAATGAAATCTAGTTTGGTTCTTTTTTCTTGTTTGAAACATTGTTCTAATTTAATCTATGGTATTAAGAGAATTTAAAGAGATGAAAGGGATAATGGGAAACATAATCAGTTGCGAGTATGTTTTTTAGATTTTTTTGTGTATACTGGTCAATTAGCTAGTTCAGCGTACAAGGTTTTTTCGGTTTTGTTCATTTTTCTCTCTTTCAGTAGTAGGTTGTGTTTTGTTGGTTTTTTTGTTTTGGTTTTTTTTTTTTTTAATTCTATTTTAAATGCATATATTTTATCTTGGTCACCTGAGAAGAAAAACTAGGCTCTGTCATCTCTTCTGGAATCCAAGCCTATAGTCTTTTGAAGGGTTAACAA